TGATGGTGGCTGGGAACAGTTTGCAGCTCTATCTGAGAAGAACCAAAAGGCCGGCCGCAAGTGGGCTGCGCTGGCACTGACGGTTCCGCGATTGGCTGCTGGCGTGCAGGAACACAATGTCATGGACAGCAAAGGTTTTCTGAAATTTGTAAAGAGAGTTCATTGCTGCAATCGCGGCTTCTGATTTGCCTATGGGGTAAGAAGGCAAAAAGCTTCGCTTCTCATCTTGCAGCAGTCATTGTCACGCCGTGATGGAGTCCGGACGCCGTGATGGTGTCTTATCAAGGCGCTTCATTGCTTTCTGTCTTGCAAGTTAGTGGCTCACTTGCTCCCTTCAGGTTGTTCATAGGCGGCGCTACCTCTCAGAGCGCGGTGCCCCGGTTAGTGGCATTCAATCATGGTGGCCATTGTTGACCTTTAATGCAATGCGTTGGAGAGTCATCCAATCCAGGAAGATTCTCATTCCTATTCTTTCATGTCTGCAGCCCTTTGGTCAATCCAGACTCAGTTCAAACAAGACAGCCTTGAATAGAAGAATCGCTCGTCTGACGATGGCAATGGAGACTCCTGTGCAATCAGTGAAGGCGGTGAATGGCAAGCACTTGCAGGCCTTGGAGGAGGCCATGACTACATTGCTGGCCCATCCGCTCTTCGACGCAGTGCAAGCAATGGCCCCGCAGGCCATTTGTGGCACTGCCAGTAAGGAAGAAGCTGGCTCGCAGGCTGCGGGGGGGGGGAATGATCCATTTACCGTTTTCAGATATTTTATATATATATATATATCATTATATATCGTTGATAGCGCACGTGCGTGAATATCGTGCGCGTCAATCGTGCACAAATATCGTGCGCTAATCGTGCGCGTCCAGGGTTGCTGAGAGACTGGTGTCAGGGGGGCACCCTCCCCAGGAAGGAGGGTAAGTTTACCTTGTTCCCTCAACGGGGGGGTACGCGCAGGGCTGCTGAGAGACTAGGGTAAACTAAGGGCGTGGCCTGATCAGAAGACAAGGTAAATTTACCTACTCTCCTCATCAGGGGTCTGGGGTACCTTACCCTAGCCTCTCAACAGCCCCGCACGTACCCCCTTGTTGAGGGGACTAGGTAAATTTACCTTACCTTCTCAGCAACCCCCTGAATTCTGAGCCAGGTAGGTTTTTGTGCCTCAGCAACCCGGGACGCGCACGATTCGCGCACGAAACATGTGCACGAATTGTGTGCACGATAGTCGAGCGCGATATTCACGATCTGTAATTCTGTGTGGGTTGTAGGATATTTGGAGGAAGTGCAGGGTGAGGGCAATTTCAACCAGTGGTTTGGCTATGAAACCATTGTTTGTTTAATCGGATGCCGGGATGGTATCGCCAGCTGGCGCGTCTTGCACCGTGATGGTGTCACGATGAAGTCATGCCGTGATGGTGTGGCCAAGTCATCCGTTTTCATGAAACTTATAAGGGTGTGTTTATTGAATTCCTTGACATGCCTGTCATTATCAGGCACCTTGGCATCCTGATGAGTACAACGCAGCGATGAAGTCAGCGAGGGTCTATGTGGCCCAGGGCAATCTGTTCTGGTTGAACGTTCGCCAGCTCACCAGTCCGTCGGTGCCGATCAATGCTGCTTCATTGGTGAAGATGCAGAAGGCATTCTTTGAACGTGGGCCTGAGAAGCTGTCTTTGGAGGTGGTGTGCGGCGTGAGTTCCTTTGTGGATGCAAAGCGGTTTGAATCCATGAAGGGCGCTTTGCAACGCATCAGCCCGGAGGAGATTGACCATGCGTTGATCTTGCATGTCGCCCAGCGCATCAACGACGGCGCGTCGGAAGAGGAGCTCTTGTGACCCGATTGTATGCGTGTGCGCGCTGGGCTGGTGCGTGTATTTTACGAAAAGATTTGATTGTTGTTTTGGTGCTTATGGCTCTTGAAACTCAATTTTTAAATGCAGAGGGCCAGTTGGTTGCCTAATGGGTAAGACGTTGGTAAACATTGGTGCCGTCACGGCACCGTCACCCGTCACGGGTTGATTATATTCTGCTTCATAAAACAACCTTAATAAGACACAGGAACCCAAGAAATGTCCTCAAACCATCTCAAACCTCTTCAAACATCAAAAAATACATAAAATAAAGGAATTGGACCAGCAAACTATCTAAAAATCATGATTTTCACAAAATGTGTCCTCAAACCTCTTCAAACATCAAGGAAAGACCGGAAATGTAGGAATGTGACCAGCAAACTATCCAACAATTATGATTTTCACAAAAAA